TGAATATCCTTGGTTATGTTTAGGAATTAGATTGCAATGTTATTTTATTTCCTTTTGTAACCAATTCTGACTTTTATGCCTTTACCAGTTATAATCACTTAAAATCTATCTTTTTATAGTTAATAAACTTGTTTTAATATTTTATTTAAACCAGTGTGCTTTGACTGAAGTATTTGGGGGAATCTCTACTCAGGTTAACAAAGGCTGTTGCATATCCATTACCTTTTGATGGAGTGGTGGACTAGTTAATGGGAGTGTCTCCCTGTATAGAGTTCACGAGTGGCTGGGAGAGCATTCATGTAACTTTGCTGGATGTGCCTTTATATGCTGATGGCTGTGTGAGAGAAAAGCCTGGAAGGGGCTGCCTTTCACTCACAGAGCAGCGTAAGAGGTGTCCTGAGCTAGAGAGTTACGGGGTCACAGTGATTTCACAGTTCAGATTGTACCCTGGGGATGTCACACCTCCCTTCAGTGAAAAGCAGAGCCATGGCAGAGCGTGACAGTACAGTTATGACTTTCATTCTGTTGCTTTTGTCAGCAGGATCCCTTAAGTGTCAGATGAGGGCTTTGACCCCAGCATCAGCAAGCATTGGAACAGGTCTCGCTGTACACAGGGCTGCCGTATGTACAGATACATTGCCAAACAGGCACTTGGCAGGGAGAGCATTCAGAGGCTCATGGAGGTAGAGGATAGAGGGCACTACACTTCTTTTTCCACATAACTTTAACAAAGGATGTCTTGTGTTAGTGCCGACGTTTTAATCCCAATTGGTTTTGAAAGATGCTCTGGAAAGTGTTTTTAAAATACTGGATTTGAGTCTTTTTTTTTTTTTTTTTTTTTTTTTTCCTTTTTTTTTTTTGTAAGATGTTTAGGAAAGTGTTTTTTTAATATTGTGTTTTAGTTTTTTTTTTTTTTTTTTTTTTCTTGGTCCCTTTATTATGGCTAAGGAAAATCTGAAAAGCTTTGTTTTGTTTCGTGGGTTTTTGGGGAAGGTAATATCTGGAATATCAACTTTGGTGTTTCATGGATTTCCTGGAGGACTTCTGGGACATCTCAAGAGATGTACATTGTGAATTCTCAAACCTTAATTGAACTTCTGGGGATGTTGAATCTTTAACAAAAGCATCTTTTCTCCCAAGACTTCATTTGGAGTTTAAATTAAATAGGCCTTAACAAAAACAAACTAGAATTTTGGGCAGATGGACTAAAAGCCTTTTTCCTCTTAGTTGTTCAGCTTCCAGTTGCTTGGTTCTTATGATGTTGTTGTTTCACTACTTCTCTAGTAACAATAGAGCCTTCCAGGACAGGCGAGATCTAAATATCTTATGTTTTAAAAAAGAAGCTTCTAGCTTAAAACAAAACCAAATGCAACATTAGTCTTCTGTATCCACCTTAAAGCAGAAAGAAGGTACAAGTGCATTGTTTTCCTTTACAGGTCAATTTTGTGAGGGAAGGGAAAGAGTGGCACTGGAATTCTCTGAAAGTAGCTTCTTTCACAGGTCTCCCTACTCATACACTCTCCCCCTTATGACAATACGTTTCAATATATAATTGAGACAGTTCATACAAACCAATGGTATAGTAACTGACAGTTGGAGCATATAAACTGTAGAGGAGGAGGTGCTTTTTGAAGCAAGGGGTGTGGGTTTAAATAAAACAACTTCTCATAAGGCCCTTGGAAATGCACACAAGGGCCTTGTGGCCAAAGTGTTGCTCTATGGGAGTATTTCCACTTCCCATAGCACTGTAAATTGTTCTCTGGAGGAATGTTATTCCTGCTGAAAGAATAGTGAGATCTCTGTGGCATGTCATCAGAATGTGACTGTATGTAAAGGTGGTCTGCAAATCAATCTGACAAAATGCCATCAGGTGTTTGTGCTGAATGCCCTCATTCTCCAGGCTAAACAGAAGAGGGCATTCAGTACATAACCAGAACACTTACTATCTTTTTTTCATAGGTCCCATGATGTCCAGCCCCACTAGGGCTTCCGGCTCCCGCTCCGATGTAACGCCCCAGCATGTACCATGCTGGTGATGTCACATCACCCAGGGATCCCGCTGGAGCATGGAGCCGGCCTACAAGGGGTCAGGTAAGTGACTTTTTAAAAAGTACAGTGCACAGTTTTGCAAAGTTTTATTGTTTTTGGGTTAGGGGTTTTTTTTGTTTAATTTAAATTTCTTCTTAGGTCATGGGACCTAAAATGAAAGCTTTTCAGGTGATTAATATTCTGAATACCCCCGTTCTTGTAGCCTGGCTAATAGGGGCATTCAGTATATTTTATTGTTAAAGTTGATGCAACTTTGCCGAATTGATTTGCAGCTCACCTTTAACTTACACAAAGGTGCACATTTTTATAAAATATGTGTTTGCCATATCATGAACCACTTTATTCTGCTTTCTTTGTCTTACCACATGCTGTGATTTTTATTCCAAAATGTTCCTGGTTTCTAAAACATTGATTTGGCTGCAGAAGCTTCTGACCTAGTATCATGAATAAGGACATAGCAATTGTCAGTCTGGATCAGACCAGTCAGTGATCCAGCTAGTCCAGTGTCTTTCTCTAGCAGTAGCTTATACCAGATGTTTCTGAGGAAGGTGTGAGAAACTCTGCAGTAGGCAGTTCTGGCAAGTTTTTCCTAACCTTCTGAATTAGCAATTGACTCATGTCCTGAAATGAGGTTTTAGATCCTTTCCAAAACTAATCTGTATGTTAAATATTTACTATAACAACTGTGGATATTCTTGTTACTGTAATAAATGTCTAATCTTTTTTAATTTTGTCAAGCTCTTGGCCTCCATAGTATCCTTTGATGATGAGTTCCACAGGCTAATTGTCCATTGTGCTTAGAATCATAGAATATCAGGGTTGGAAGGGACCTCAGGAGGTCATCTAGTCCAACCTTGCTCAAAGCAGGACCAATCTCCAGACAGATTTTTGCCCCAAATCCCTAAATGGCTCCCTCAAGGATTGAACTCACAACCCTGGGTTTAGCAGGCCAATGCTCAAACCACTGAGCTATCCCTCCCCCTTCCTGTGATTAGTTTTGAATTTGCCACTTTTCAATTTCACTGATTGTTCCCTTGCTCAGGTATCATGAGAGAGGGTGAATAAAAGCTCCCAACCTTCCTCTCTAGATCACGCATTATTTTGTTTACTTTTATTGTATCCTCCTATAGGGTAACAATCCTGGTCTTTGCAATCTCTTCATAGGAGACTTTATTCGGGCTCCAGTCAGTCTCATTACCCTTCTCTGCCCCCTCTAATTCTGCAGTATCCTTTGTGAGATACAATAATGCTATTTTCCTTATTATTCTTTATTCCATTCCATAAAACACTTGGGGTTTTTAGCCATTGCTGCACATTGAGCTGTCTACAGTGACACAGTGGGTTGATGTAGTTAATTTAGAACCTTTTAAGATGTATGAACAATTCATATTATTCTCTCCAATGTGTGTGTATTGCATTTGTCAAAACTGAGTATGTACTGACATCATCTTGTCTTCACCGAACTATGCTGGGTACCTCTAAAAGTCCTAACGTTCCTTTGTTCTTGACTAAACTAAATAAGTTTGTCATGTGCAAATTTTGCTACTTTGATGCTTCCCCCTTTTTTCCAGATTGTTAACTAATAAATATATTAAACATGGGCATGCTACCTTGTGGCACCCAGTATTAGCCTTTGCCAGGATGTAAACTGGCCATTTATTCTTATTCTGTTTTCCTTTTCTTAGACAGTTTTTGACCCATAAATGATATTTTGCCTTTTTCATCATGACTATTTAGTTTCTTTAGTAGCTTTTGTGAGGGACTTCGCGAAAGGCCTTTTGAAAGTCTCAATGAATTGTTTGCCTGTATCCACTTGTTTATTAACTAATAGATTAGTGAGACTTGATTTTCCTTTGCAGAAACTTTGCTGATTATACCCTGTCATAGTGTGCTCTTCCTAGTGTCGTATTCTATTTTTAAATTATCATTTAGACCAAATTACTAGGTACCAGAAGGAAGGTGTTCTGGCATTTAATTCCCCACATGATCCTTAGTGTCTCTTTAAAATATAGGCACAACACTTGGTACTGTCCAGTTCATGAAATTCTTTAGAAGGGACCATCACTGCAAAAACTCAAGAAGTGGCAAATGCTGATTCTTACAGCTCTATCAGCTGCCTTTAACATCATGGGATATAAGTATTGCTGACATGTCTGTGGTTCCTAGTAGGAGCAGGTGGAGCTGCTCCTGAGTGGCTCTACTCACTTATTCCAGCGGGTAGTTTTGGGCAGTTGTTTTTAAGCTCTTTATTGCAAAGTACTGTAAAGTTACAGCTTGTTGCCCCTCTGGTATAGAAGTGTGCTGGGATGGTTATTAAAGTGATATGGGTTGCAGTGCTTTAGTCTGAGTATGATGCTTAGCTCTGTGTCCCCATTACTTCTGAACCTGCTTGTGCAGTTGAACAAAGGACCCAAGGTCTGTATGAGATTGAAGTCTGGAAGAGGGCTGGCCTTCTGAGGCTCAGTTTGGATAAGGCTGAGGTAAATGTTGATTTTTTTGTGTGGGGGCGAGGGGGCAACCAGAAGGATTTGTCAAGGAATATATGCTGTTTGTTATGTGGCTAGATGAAGGAGATGGTGTGGTTAACTTTTTTCAAAAGGGGCAAAACTTTTATCACACTAGAGACGTATTTTCCTAATGGTGCATTTTAACAAACAGTATCTGTAGTCACCACAGCAGTGTTCTGCGGGAGGCAAGGGAGACAGCAGTGATGAGCTGGGCTCTGGGCAAAGGGGCAGGGATATCGGTCAGCAAAATCCTCAGTGCCTGGGAGGGGTCCATGAGAGAATCTCTCTGGTAAGGTGTGGTCAATAACATGGCAAAAGTTTGAGAACCCCTCTTGTCCTTCCCAAGTGTGAATCTTTTGTAGAACCCTTGCTAGAGTTAATTAGTATTGCTTCTGCCCACTGTGCTGTAGGGGTAGAACTCACCCATTTCTTTCTTTCAAACAGATATGAAGTTTGCAAGTCAAGCGAGGATGGCGCTGAGTGCATCACTCTTTCTGTATACTTCAGAGAAAAGAGAATAAGACAGTCCAGCACTTCTTCGGGGACTGTTCTTTGTGGGCAGCCACTGCTAATCTCTGTGCCCAAACACAAGCTCACTCTGGATCACTTGTACAGTGTTGTTTTCGAACAGATTGGGTAAGTACAGGCATGGTAGTGTGGATGTTTATACAAAATTCTAGTAGTCGCTCATGCAGTTATACTGTAGTGAGTCTGTCTCAACCCCTCTGAGGGCAGGAGGCTGCCCAGTTTCTGGCCCAGAGCTCCACAGCTTTTCCCTGTGACCATGTTTCCTCTGATGGGCATGATTTCTGCAGTGGTTATTTCTTAATAACTAAGCTGTATGTAAACCCTTGTTCTCTGGCTGACAGGCCACCATTAGCCATTCAGAGTGAAGGGACTTGCATGATCACTTTATGATAATTAAGGCAACTCTCTACTCCAATTGATTGCTATAATCTCTCTGCTCTGATTGGCTCCTCTACTTGAATTTTCTAGTTGTTTTCTTTCAACAAAGATGTTGCCACAATGTCTGCCTCCTTCAGCTGAAGCCAAAAGACTTCATGAAAGAGAAGGGTAAAAAACCCAAAAATCAAAAGAAATGGGGCTGAGACTGAAAGACTTACCCCCACCTTCCTTCTTCCACACCCTCCCCAGAGGAAAGGAAGGAAGAAAAATAACCGTGTGTGTGTGTACATACAGCGGCCCCCATTAAAATGTTCAGATATACTGGCAATTGGCGCATGTTATAATGATATTCCCTTTACTATCATCCAGTTGCAGAGATAAAACTGTAAAGGCTTTTGGGTGGGATTTTCAAAAACACTGTTAACCTGAGTTTGCTCCTGTTGAAGCCAGGGCTGCTGTACTTGGTGGTTTGTTTTGATTTGGTTCTGTGGCCACTCAGGCTTGTTCATTGTCTTTAATTGATGTACAGCAGTGGCTCTCAACCTTTCCAGATGACTGCACCCCTTTCAGGAGTTTGATTTGTCTTGTGTACCCCAAGTTACACCTCACTTAAAAACTACTTGTTTATAAAACCAGACATAAAAATACAAAAGTGTCACAGCACACTAGTACTGAAACATTGCTTACATTTTCATTATTACCATATAATTATCAAATAACTCAATTGGAATATAAATACTGCACTTACATTTCAGTGTCTAGTATATAGAGCATTGTATTCAAGTCGTCTGTGTGAAATTTTAGTTTGTACTGACTTCGCTACTGCTTTTTATGTAGCCTGTTGTAAAATTAGGCAAATATCTAGATGTACCCCCTGGAAGACCTCTGCGTACCCCCAGGGGCACACATACCCCTGGTTGAGAACCACTGATGTAGGGGACCCAGGCATTCTGGCATTGGGGCACCAACATGAATGTCCTAACAAGAATACATTTTCTTTGTTTAGCCACTACATTAAATTCCCTCTGACAAAAGAATATTCTAGTGTATGCCTGGACAGTGGGATCTGCAATGGCTCCAGTCGTGGCTGCGAAGGTAAAATGTAATCATTTGGATTGGAGAAGCTTTGCTAGAAGGTCATTCAGACCTACCTCTGTCAGCCTTTAATTTTCTGCTTTATTGCATTATTGTTGTGGATTGTGGACTTTAATGGAATGTTTGGTTCTACACTGTGATTGAATCACATTATTGGAGAGGGCTTCTTATCTGGATGTGTGATGACAATGGCCCACAAAATCTCAAACTCCTCTGGTTTACACAGTGCAGTATGTCAAGTTTGTGTATTTGAAGAACCAGGTGTAGTGCATTAGTCTTCTGCTACACTAGTAGTCTCCTGTCCCTGATCTCTGTCAAATGTTCTAATGGCATTAGAGCAGGTGGCTGAGCAGCAGGAGGGAAAGGGAGGGGTCTTGTGAGGGCATTGTGGTGTAATCAAGTGAGAGGGTGCCCAGAGTCCTGCAGTCTAAAGCTACAGGGGCTCATGCCTGGGCAGAGCCCTGCAGCCTGTTGCACATTTGCACTTCTGTGGAGACACTGCCACAAGAGGATCCTGCTGTGCTGCCATGAGAGTAGCCGTGGGAACAGGGGATATGAAAGAACTTAAAACAAGAGACATGCTGCCTTGCTTTAGAGAAAGGGAGCTACCTCCATTGGACCTACCCATCTCTCTCTGCTGAAAGGACAGACCCCACTGAACCCCTGCCACTCCTCTGTTGGGACATTGCTGGAGCATACTGTCAGCTGTGCTAACTGGCATGACTTGTAGCCCAGTGTCCACCTAGTGTTCTTCACAGGAACAAAATACCTGTTTTGTCCTTACCTTCAGGACCCTTCACAAATTAGCCCCTCTGTCCCCTTCAGTGCACTAATGATCCCACTCTTGATCATGGCTTTCCCTCTTCTCCAACCAGCATCCATTGTTCTTTCTTCCTCGCAACTTCTCCCCAAAGAACAGATTCATGGGGACTGATGTGGTCTGAATTATGTGTCAGGCAGAGAATTAGCCCCAACATTTTGAATGGATTTGAAAGGGGATGGGGCTGTGGAGGTTGCAATGACCTACCTGTGAGATTTTCAATCACTGGCAACTTTCAAATCTAGATTAGAAAAACATCCAAAGTTCTGCTCTAGTTCAAACAGGAATTAATTCAGGGAAGTCCCCGTGCCTGTGTAATACAGGAGGTAAGAGACTATGTGATCACAATGGTCCCCTTTAGAGTCTCGGAATCTGAGATGGTAAAACCCAGGTTGTATTACCTAGATCCCTTGACAGGAAAAATACGCCTTTCAGGTGCAACTGATTAGCAAATGCACATTTCTTCTTTAAAGTGTGAATCTACTGTTTTTAGTTAGTTTATTGTAAAGCAGCTTCTGCCACATCTTTACTGGCATTTGTGTGTCATGTAAGCAGAGTGCCTCTCCTAACGAGCTCACACAGCATGGTTCTCAGTGAGGTACTTGTGTCTCTATAAAGGCTACAGAGCATGCAATATTGTGCTTGTTGTTTTTAATTTTCGCCAGTTGAAGAGATGGAACATCAAGATGGAGATGAGGAGGGCAGGGAAAAAGCCTCAGAAACAGATTCCTGCCAGTCAGAGGGCTGTGCACATGATTTGCTGGGGAAGGAAGGGCAGCATCACAAGAAGCATCTGTTCACCTTTAGCCTTGTGAATTCCTATGGGACCTCTGAGATAAACTCAATTACAACAGAGGGGAAACTTCTAAAACTGAACTGTAAGTATCCTCTGTAACTCTTAGCTCTCCCTTCAGTAGCATGCTGACAGCAACCCTGACTCATTTTTCTGTCCTGCAGCCTATGCCACCCTTGCTATTGACTTGGATCCAGACACTCGGAAGCTGCTGTTTGATGAACAAGAGTCACAGGTCAGTAGTTTGCTTCTTTAAAGGTTGTTGATGTGATCTCTAGTTGGAGCTAAGCAAATGCAGAGATGCTGATACAGAATGCAAGATCAGCCCCCCTCCTAGGAATCAGAGAGTTCAGTATGGAAGGGGGAAATGTATCCGTTTGCCTGAAAACTTCTAATAATAAGGTCTACAGATCCATTCCAGTGGGCCCTCCGCCTACTTCCGCCAAAGGAGGCAGAACCAGAGTTGTCAGTCCCTGGATTTGCCCCAGCCCTGAAAACCTAGCCAGTTTGAGAACTTGCTCAGCAAAGGATAGTTGTATGGTCAGTAGACTAGTTCAGAATTCACTTCCAGAACACTAGAAAGATATTACAGTTATGTTCTGCAGAGCTTAACAGGAACTTCAAAATTTCTTAGTGACTTAAATCTTGAATTGGGGTCCCAGTTTGTAATTAAGAATGATCTGCTCTGTGTCTGGTCTGGATCTATGGACCTTACTGCTGAGAGAAAGGAAACTTTCAGGTAAGCATGGGGAAATGTTTCTACTTTCTCATGCTAGGGTCCACAGACCTGTTAAAGTGAGATTTTGATTGCAGTGTGCATGTAGGGAGGGAGAAAACTGACACAAACCTACCCTCATTTACAACAGACAGGCATGTACATATGCAGTCACATGCTGCCCCTGCATATTAACCACATTTCGGATCCAAGAGTATCCTGGGAGGCAATACAGGTAAACGCCAGTTCTTCAAGTGATTGCAAATACCCATTCCACTGTTTGTGTGCTCCAGTGTACAGGTGTAGGAGAGTTTCAGCTGTTAGTGTTACCCGTTGGGGCGACCTGAGCACCTACACTATGCAGGCATAAAGGGATGAACTGCCCTGACCCCCTTTAGTTCCTTCCTACCCTTTGTGACAGTTGTTGGAGTTCCCTGGTCTTGCTTCTGCAAGTCTCTACTCAGTACCTGTAAATAGTACCCCTCTATAGTCAGTACAGAAAAGAATTGTTTTTGTTACTTCGTGTGGTTCTGGCACCCAGTTTGGGTACCGGCCCCAGTACCGAAGATATGCCATGCTCTTTGGGTTTCAAGCCCTGACACTCTAGCAGCAAGGCAATGCCTAATAGTGACCCTCACCCCAGCTGCCTTAAGTTCATGTGAGTGACAGGTGTGGCATTTGTAAGAGCATTAAGCCTCATTCTAAAAAAAGATAGGGCAGCCAGCTTAAAATGTCTCCTGATGGAACTGGCACTGTGTCCTTCATCTGAGCCATCTGCCTCAGTCTGGGTACCGAGCACCTTGGCGTTGGTCAGGAGCAGCTCACCACTGGGCAACCGGTACCAAGAGACAGATCAGCATCTCTAGTAACAGAGGCATCAGAAATTGTAGTTGATACGAGGCATGTCGACAGATGTAAAGAGGATGAGTTCTTCTAAAGACTCGGGAGGGCATTCAAAGAGGAAGCACTCACCAAAGCATACCTCTAAACAGGGAAGTTTGTTGACGTCAGAGCTCAGTGCAGGCCTGTTGAGACCGACTCCCGAAGCACCTTAGTCGGCATCTCCTTGCACCACAGTGTGTCTTCCTGGTACTGTCTACCCCTAAGGCATTTGAGGCTACAAGAGGGTTGTTAAATCTCTGTGTCGCCATCACCAGCAGTTCAAAAGCCTCTCCAGGCCCCCAAGCTACTGCCTCCAGTGCCTTCACCCCTGCACCAAGCAGTTCCATCTGATTTTGCCATCAGGGTACCAGTTAGGGCTGTACCATCCAAGGAAAAGCCACAGATGATCTCCCCAGCTCCCCTTTCTTCAGATTCTGAGCCGCCTTCACTGCTACCAATGGGTACAGCCATGACCACAAGAAGAGGTTTCTTCCTCATCAGACTCTGAAGTGGGATCCTATGTATCGTAGCTGGTCCCATCAGGAGGGATGTGTCGCTACCCTGTGTGGTTTCTGCCTCAGTACCAGCAAGATGCTTATAGGAGGGACCTCAGGACTATGCATAGTTGGGGACTGGGCCCTTACTGGTGGACCTTTTGGAACCTGTGGGGCTTCCTGCCCAATCAGTAGCATCCCTGCAGCCACCTCAGTTGGCTTCATCTACTGGTGTCAGGAGCATTGATACCGCTGTGGCATATCAGGGTGCAATCCAGACCAGGGAGTGGCTGTGTCACCCCTGCCCTGTAACCTGGGGTGCCTTTGCAATGCCTTGCTGTAACCTCCAATATGGACTGCTTTAAAATAGCCATCAGTCTGCCGGTCACTCCTAGATGCTTGTGTGAACTGCAGCCTGCCAGCCACACCTGGGCTCTCAACAGCCTTGATTATTACTGCACGGTGACCTCAACACACTTCCAATCCCAAACTTTCCCCAGAAATGTATGTTCTGCAGTGTCCAGCCCTCTCCGACAATGTCCAGAAATACTGTTTGTTATTCCCTTAAGGGTATAATGTACACCAGCTTATCTGATAAGGCACTTCAATTTACACAGTGTATTAGATGAAACAATAAAACAAATTTATTAACTAGAAAGAGAGTGATTTTAAGTGAGTACAAGTAATGAGGGATAAAAGTCAGAAATAGTTTTTAAAAAATGATAGCAAAGATAGCACTTTCTAGTGCTTACTTAAACTCTATCAGATTCAAAGCAAAGTTTCTCATCATATGGTTCCAGCTGCATTACTGACCAAACTCTTTAGGTCAGGCGCCCTTTCTCCCAATGTCCAGTGACTGTTTTTCTTTGTCGTCTTCAGTGCAATGCTAGAGACAGACTGGGAGAGAGAGAGAGGTGTCTTGGGATTTTCCCCTCATTTATTTATTATATATGTATGGATGTATGTTTTATTCCCTCTTTGAAAAGTACAGTATTTCCAGCTGAGAACCAGGAGACTGGCAGGAAGGAAACTCCATGCTTTCTCTTTGCTAAGATGCAGATCTTTTTCCCTGCCCCGCTTTCTGGCCGAAGAATGACCACTTTGTAGGTAATGGCCCATCCACTTTGTTGACACCTGGCTGCAGTGTGCGCTTGCCCTTGGTCTTTGAGACACTGGTTTAACCACTCTCCGGACTTACCTGGCAAACATACTTCAGTCATGATTTCAGCTTAGGTTCATAACTTTACCTATAATGTTGCTACATGCACTTTACCATGATGTTTTATGGTATCACACTTTACCAAGCTGGCTGTATTTTACAACTTTACAAGCTGGCTGTATTTTAAAGAAGCCTTACTGAGGGTGCAGGAACAAACAATCCCGATGTGCAGAAAAAATAGCAAATATGGCAGGCTTAACACTTAACACTGAAATCTTCAGTGAGCTTAAACACAAAAAGGAAGCTTACAAGAAGTGGAAACTTGGACAGATGACTAGGGAGGAGTATAAAAATATTGCTCGAGCATGCAGGGGTATAATCAGGAAGGCCAAAACACAACTGGAGTTGCAGCTAGCAAGGGATGTGAAGAGTAACAAGAAGGGTTTCTACAAGTATGTTAGCAACAAGAAAAAGGTCAAGAAAAGTGTGGGACCCTTAATGAATAGGGGAGACAGCCTTGTGACAGATGATGTGGAAAAAGCTGAAGTGCTCAATGCTTTTTTTGCCTCGGTCTTCACGGACAAGGTCAGCTCCCACACTGCTGTCCTGGGCAAAACAGTATGGGGAGGAGGCGAGTAGTCCTCAGTGGTGAAAACAGGTTAAGGACTATTTAGAAAAGCTGGACATGCACAAGTCCATGGGTCTGGATCTAATGCATCTGAAGGTGCTGAGGGAATTGGCTGATGTGATTGTAGAGCCATTGGTCATTATCTTTGAAAACTCGTGGTGATCGGGGGAAGTCCCGGACGATTGGAAAAAGGCAAATATAGTGCCCATCTTTAAAAAAGGGAAGAAGGAGAACACAGGAACTACAGAAAAATCATGGAGCAGGTTCTCAAGGAAACCATTTCGAGGGGAGAGGAAGGTGATCAGGAACAGTCAGCATAGATTCACCAAGGGCAAGTCATGCCTGACCAACCTGATTGCCTTCTATGATGAGAGAACTGGCTCTGTGGATATGGGGAAAGCAGTGGACGTGATATATCTTGACGTTAGCAAAGCTTTTGATACGATCTTCCACAGGATTCTTGCGCACAAGTTAAAGTAGTATGGATTGGATGAATGGACTATAAGGTGGATAGAAAGCTGGCTAGATTGTCAGGCTCAACTGGTAGTGATCAACGGCTCGATGTCTAATTGGCAGCTGATATCAAGCAGAGTACCCCCGGGGTCGGTCCTGGGGCCGGTTTTGTTAAACATCTTCATTAATGATCTGGATGATGGGATGGATTGTACCCTCAGCAAGTTCGCAGATGACACTAAGCTCGGGGGAGAAGTAGATTTTCTGGAGGGTAGGGATAGGGTCCAGAGTGACCTAGACAAATTGGAGGATTGGGCCAAAATAAATCTGATGATGTTCAACAAGGACAAGTGCAGAGTCCTGCACTTAGGAAGGAAGAATCCCATACACAGCCAGTCAGTCCCCAGCCTGTAGTGAAGCAGCAGTTCTGCAGAAAAAGACCTGGGGATTACAGTGGATGAGAAGCTGGATATGAGTCAGCCGTATGCCCTTGTTGCCAAGAAGGCTAACAGCATATTGGGTTGCATTAGTGGGAGCATTGCCGGCAGATTGAGGGAAGTGATTATTCCCCTCTATTCGGCACTTGTGAGGCCACATCTGGAGTATTGTGTCCAGTTTTGGGCCCCCAACTACAGAAAGGATGTGGACAAATTGGAGAGAGTCCAGTGGAGGGCAACGAAAATTATCAGGGAGCTGGGGCGCATGACTTACGAGGAGAGGCTGAGGGAAGTGGTCTGCAGAAGAGAAGAGTGAGGGGGGGATTTGATAGCAGCCTTCAGCTACCTGAAGGGGGGTTCCAAAGAGGATGGAGCTTGGCTGTTTTCAGTGGTTGCAGATGACAGAGCAAGGAGCAATGGTCTCAAGTTGCAGTGGGGGAGGTCTAGGTTGGATATTAGGAAACACT